GTAAGAATCTTTTTATACCTATTATTCAATGTTGTTTGTCTTTGAAATGTGTCTAAGGGAGTTCATTTTGCTCATACTGTTTTCTGTCATATTCTTTGTTTTCAACACTATGTGTATGATATTAATTCATGTTGTGGCATATACTTTTAGATAATTCATTTTCACTAACATGTAGGCTTCCATTCTATTAGTTTGACAGATTTATTATTCATTCTCCAGTAAATGCACATGAGGATTTTCCCCTAGATTTTGGGGCTACTGCAAACAGGACTATCTTCTTGTACTTTCTTTTAGATACCCTGGTGTAATATGTATCTATCCCTGAGATATAAAAATTGAGCCTTAGGGTCCCCATGTCAACTTTACATAATTAGGCAAAATGCTTTCTACATTAAGACAAATACACAGTTCCATCAACAGGGCATGCGTGATTTCTTCTATTCCACCTCTGAGTCAATTCACACTTAATATTCTTTTATTTGCCCATCTTCTAGGTTAAAATAGTACCTCACTATAGTTGTAGTTTGCATTTGTATGATTGCTAAGGTGGTCCAACTTTGTTTTTTATATTTATAGGCCACTAGTGTTTTGTGTACACGGCCCTTTGCTCTGTAGCTTTTGGTTGATTAGCTATTATTTACTCATTACAGTTCCTTATATATTTAGGATACCAAACTTTGTTAGTTGTATATGCTGCCAATATATTTCCATTTGTGGCTTGAATTGTCACTCTTTATAATGTTTTTTGGTGACATTCCTAATTTAGTAGATGTGTCATTCTTTTTTGAGAGGGCATCCATTCTTTAATGCTTCATAAGCAATGCTCCCATAGTGCAGCTTCATAAAGGTGTACTCCCATGTGACTTAACAAATAGTGAACAATTGAAGTGTTGTATTTAAGCATTTAATCCTTTCAGAATTTATTTTTGCTTATACAGGGAGACGTTGTTCAAAATTAGTCTTTCTGTGGATAACCACGTGTCCCAGAAGAACTTACTGTATATTGTGCCATTCCTCTGCATTCATGCCATGATGGTTCTCTCACATATTAAGTGCCTCTCTATGTTTGGTGCTATTTTAAATCTATTATTTTCCATTTGTCCATTTATTTATGCCTTTTTCAGTATCCTTAATTATAAAATAATTTGATGATACAAAGGGGGATTCACCTGACTTGGTAATTCACTATTATCTGCCCTAATCTTCTCTCTCTTTTCCATTTAAATATCAGATTAGTTTTGTCAAATTTCATGAAAATATCTTTTGTAATTTTGATTAGTGCTGCATTCAACACATAGATGATTGTTCAGAAATTGGAATACATTTCCTGTTGGTTTAACTTCTGCATGACATGACATATATCTTCACTTACTTCAAATTTTTGAAATGCTTTTCTCTAAAGTTTAATAATTTTCTGAATTAAAGTCTAACTCATCCTATGATATTTGTTTCTGTATTTTATAGTATATGTTATTCTTAATTGCTCTCTCCTTTCGAAAATATATATTTCACTGTTGCTAGTATATGGAAATAAGTTGACTTTTCATATTATATGAAACTCGGTTAACTTATTAAGTGATATGATAAGTAATGCAATGCTTCTTTAGATTCCTTTGCGTCTTCTGTATTTGTCGTCTGTCTATAATCACTGACTTTCCCTTTGCTCACTTCACACTTTGTCTTGTTTGTTAGCTGGGATTTCAGCACAATGCTGAACAGAAATGGTGGTGGCATTCTTCTGCTCATTTATCAATTACGTGTGACCAGGACAACTAGAGGTACAGGATACGTGCTACTCACAATGGGGGTTAAAAGTGTAAGACTAGATCCTGGGTATTTCAAGGACCTACTGGCATCCCAGGATGGTTGCAAATCATTCTCCCAGCTGCTACTGAACCCGGTTCATCTCAGCTGACCCACAGGAAGCCAAAACGCTGAGGTGTGCAGCAGAGAGAAGATTTTTCTCTAAGGCAGCCAAGCGAGGTGATGCGAGAACAGATCTCAGATCCACCTCCCTGAAAGCAACAGGCGCAGGGTATGTATGTGATAAAGAATAAAGAAGTAAATCTGCCTTAGGTGTGGGGAGCGTGGAGATCTTGAGGAAAGGTGATTTGAAAAAGATGTGATAACTCTCATCCTGCGCAGGCATAACTGAGCTAGAAGCCCTGCAGAGTCATAAGGGAAGACTCTGAGCAGGATTCGAGGGTCGAGGTTTTGGTCCTCTGATTTGCTCACCCAGGTCGAGGGTCCACGGTTCTAACCAGTCTTAACAAGCTGACATCCACTAGACGCAGCTTACTCTGGCTCCTCGCAGCTGGATGCAGCTGCCTCCAGGTTCCAGGAAAATACCTCAAACAAACATGGTGTTTAGATTTACTTGAAGCTTGGAGAACATGCAAGTCTTGAAAAGACCTTGATTCGAGAAGGCAAGCGAAACGGATTTGACTAATCGTTACCCAGGGTTCCACAGCCGGGACCTGAAGTATGTCACTTGAGTTCCCTCAAGTATCTGAGACTTCCCATCTCAGGTGAGGGGAGGTCTGTGCTTGCTCTTTAAGCTCCAAAAGTGTTTTTACAGAAAGACCCACATCCCCTCCTAGTGGCCAAAGTTCCAAATGGTCTTTCCCCTTGGTCCTTCTCATCCATCTGGCTGTGGTAATCCTCTCCATGAGCCTAATGAAGCCCAGCTCATCTTTAGCAGGACGTTGTCTTGCTCTAAAGCACTGTCTGTGATTCTACCAAATCTCCCTGTGTCACAGAAAGTAATAACTGGGTTCACACGATACCCTGCCCGAGCCTGGCTAACACGGCCAGAGACACCAGATCCCTTCAAAGAGTTTTCCCCATGAGTCTGAAACTGTAACAGAACTGTAGAGACAGAAGGTAATGGTTGCTGAGGCGTTTTTGGCTTTTAGAAAGAAGACTTACGAGCTTCTGCTGCTTAGGAACACAGGAGGAGGGTTTCTGTTCTTTGTGGTATTTTTGATGATACCATCTGACAGGTGTGATGTAACATCTCACTGTGGTTTTGATTTGCCCCTGTGACGACAGCAGTGTCGAGCATCTTCTCTGTGACCCTTGGCCATCTGTATGTCTTCTTTGGAAAAATGTCTATTAGCTCTCTTGACCATTTTGCAATTGGTATTTTTTTGGATATTCAGTAGTATTAGCTGCTTATATATTTTGGATATTAACTCCTTATCAGTCATCACTTTGCATACATTTTCCCCGCTGTGTGAGTTGACTTTTCATTTTGTGTATGGTTTCCTTTGCTATTAAAATCTCTCAAGCTTCATTAAGTCCCATTTGTTTATTTTCGCTTTTGTGTCCTTTGCCTGAGGCGACAGATACAAAAATATTGCTGCAGTTTATGCCGAAGGGTACCCTAAGTTTTCCTTTCAATGTTTTATGATTTTTGGCCTTGCATTCAAGTCATTAATCTATTTTGTGTCTATTTTTGTGTAAGCTGTGAGAAACTGTTCTCACCTCTTTCTTCCACACGTGGCTGGCCAGTTTTCCCAGCACCACTTTTTGAAGAAAGTGTCTTTTGCCAATTTTAGGTTCCTGCGAATTCTGTCACAGATTAATCAACCATATTTGTGTGGGCTTACTTCTGGCCTCTCTACTCTTTTCCATCGACCTGTGCCTCGGTTTCTGGGCCAGTACCATGCTATTTTGATGATTATATCTTTGTACTACAGGCAGAAGTCAGGGAGCGTGACGCCTTCGGCTTTGGTCGTTTTTCTCATGATTGCTTTGGCTATCCGGGGTCTTCTGTGGTTCCATGTGCATCTTAGGACTCTTTGTGCTGCTTTTGTGAAAATGTCATGGGTTTTATGATAGGGGTTGCTTTAAGTCTGTAGATTGCTTTGGATAAAATATACCTTTTAACAATCTTAACTCTTGAACTGGCCCATGGGAGGAACAAGAAGTGAATTCACAGACTTGAGCAGCAGAGCTGGGACACGCGCATTCCTTACTGCAGGCCACGTGCCTCCCTGTAAAACACGCTCCTTAGTGTGCTTAATGGACTGGTTTATTTTCGTAAGCAAGGGGCGTCTTTTAAGTCTATCACTATTGAATTACTAATAGTCTGTATTAAAGAAAGAGAGACTAACAGTTGGTTACACAGGTAGTGAGGCTGGTGCTGTGACCCAGGTGTGGTGGCCGGTGACACTCTTTCTGGAGAAGGTATTTTTCTGTAAGATACTGAGGCTCAGACATCAGCTGAGAAATGTAAAGACTAAATTGAAGTGGACTAATGTGAAGTCTTGGCAGAAAATCCTTTTAATCATTAAATTCCTTATGAGTAGTAATATACATTCATAATGCATTTCTTAAAGTAAATTTAGGAAAATATCAACAAAATATGTGCAGGATATGTTCAATTAAATCACAAGTCAATGCTGAGAGAAGTTAAAGACCTTGACACAGCAGCATGGGGCACTTTTCAGGGAGAGGGAAGTGTTCGGGGTCTGGATTGTCATGCTGGCTACATGGGCAAAGGTATTTGTCAAAAATCCAGTGAAACATAAACTTCAAATGGGTGTGTCTCATTGCCCTTATGTTATATCTGAAGGTTGCTTTTCCCTTGTACATTTGTGGTCTTCAGGAGGGAGGGGGTTGCAGAGCGCCCTCAGCTGCTCTGGCAGGGACAGCTGTGACAAGCAGTCATGAACCCACAGGAGAGTCTGAGTCTGGATCATGAATTGTGCGGGGCCAGGGGATCGGGTTCCCCAGGAAAGAGTTGACCAGCTGGTCATCCTGCTTCCTGAAGGCACAGCGTTGTGAGGGGAAAACCACACAGTTACATTTCTCATAGAGACTGTTAGAAACCCATCAGGCTCATACCCCGTGTCTTTCCCCTGCCTGACGCCCTGCACGCTGGGGCATCTGAGCCCCTTTACCGCTTCCTCCCCCTTCCCTGGCCTTCTGTGCCATCAGCTGTTCTAACATCCCTTCCTGCTCACCCACAGTTGCCATGTACCAGCTTCTCCTTCTGGTTAATGTCTTTCAAGTTGCGTTTCTGTTACTCCCCTCCCACCTCATACACCACTGATTTCCTGAGCTGGGCCCATGATGAGTTTGTGTTCTAAGAAGAGCCAGCATTCAGCACTGTGGATTTACTGCTGGCACAGAAGTACCGCGCTGAGTCCCCTGCCTGAGTGGAGTTGATTTCCAGGCTGCAGGGTGGGTTTGGGGGACATTCAGCCGAAAATCGCTGTTTAAACCCTTCTGCCTCTTCCATAACATTTCCTCCATTCCGTAAGTAAACCAAAAACTCGAACGCTCCTTCCAGCTTCTTACGATACCAGTATACATAATTATGTCCTTTTATGGGGACACAGTGCATCTTTGCTCTCTGCTCCTTTCCTCTGACCAGATGTCCAGGACTCTGGGTGACCCCCGTGTCCATGGAGCCTGCGGGAGAAAGAGACAGAAAGTGGAGACAAAGCCTAGGAGGAGCCTGATTCTGCAGCCACAGGAGAAAGTCCTGGATCTGGAATCTGACAAGTTCACAGCAGAACTCACCTGCTCCCCAGAACAAAAGGGCCACACAGCAGAGGAGACTGAAGCACATGGCTGGCTCCGGGGAAAAGCAGGGCAGGTGGCTTTTTGTCTAAGTCTCCTCATCCCCCGTCAGCGACGTCCTTGTGACGTGGACACTTCCCATGTCATCACAGTCCCCGTGGAGAGGAAACTAAAACACTTTATAGGCTGGAGGGCAGGGAGGGCTGGTGATGCAACTAGTGTGGCTTTCAGACTGCTTTTATTGACTTTTTCCTGAGTCTGCTTTTTCATTATTTTTTTAAAACTAAAACAACTTACCCGTACAGATTTAATTTATTTGCTGTTTTAACCTGTCAGTTTGTCTCCTCCCCTCCCTACTCCCCTCTTAGACAGTGAACCCTCCAGTTAGCTGTACATCTATCAGCGTCTACTGCACTTACAAAAATCACACAGCAGCTACTTCAAGTTAAAAACTACATTTTGAGCTATGCAAACAATATTTATGATGACTATGCAGTGCGTCTAGGGAAGCAATTTGTTTTTGCCTGAACCAATCAGCTTAGTATTTAAGTCAGCGCTAAGAATTTTTCAGCCCCTGGGTTATTTTTGTAGATTTTATTGTTCTTTTTTCTACCATGTCCAGGTAACCATAACCCTGAAGTTTATTTTCATTCACTTACTTTTCATTACACATTTTAGTATTTATGTAAGATTCTGCAAATTATATATTATTTACCGTTGTATGTCTAATTTATCTAAGGGGAATCATTCTGTTCATATTTTTTCTGTGACTTTTTTTAATTCTTTGTTGCATATAATTTGAGATAATTCTATTTCACTAATATTTAAGATTCTATTGTATTATTTTGGGAGAATTTATTATCCATTTTTGAATTAATATCCATAGTTCTTTCCTAGTTTTTAATGCTACTGCAAAGAGGACTGCATTCGAATACATTTCTCTGCATACTTAGGTCCAAGATTTTCTCTGTACCTGGGAATGCTGAGATCAAGCATTAGGGTCACCATGTCAGCTTTACATAATAAGATAAAATGCTTTCCAAATTAATTAAGCTGAATTAATAGTCCCATCAACATGCATGAGTGTTCTCTAGTGCTCCACCTCTAGGACTCAACCACACTTCACATTCTTTTTTTCTGCGCATTTAAAAAACAAAAATCACAGATATGTACTGTTCATTGTTTCGAAGAACATTTAGAGCTTTAGATTTTTAAACTTACATAGTTATCAAAAGAATAAAGCAAACCACAAAATAAGAATTAAATAAAATGCACACACCTCACTATTAACAGCAACAATATTCTTTTTCTTATTTGGGGGGTAGATAATTGGGTTTTTTATTTATTAATTGTGATGGAGGTACTGGGATTAAGCCTGGGACCTTGTGCATGCTAGGCACGCGTTCTACCACTGAGTTGCACCTTCCCACCTTGGGGCTGACATATTTTAATATTTGTAGGCCACTAGTGTTTTCTATACATTGCCCTTTGCCCATTTTTGGAGGATTAGCTATTATTTGTAACAATTCCTTTTATCTTCTGGATACCAAACTTTATCAGTTATATGTGCTGTTAATACCTTTTCAACTTGTGGCTTGTGTTTTCACTGTTCGTAATGTTTTTTGTTGATATTCCTGGTTTGGTAGAGTCTATCATTCTTTTTCGGGAGGTTATGCATCTTAATGCTTTATAAGCAAGGCTCCCATAGCCCAAGTTCATAAAGATGTACTCCCATTTTTTATTTTTTACCAGTTAACATACTGAATGTTGCATTTAAGCATTTAATGCTTTTAGCATTTATTTTTGCTTATGCTGCAGAGAAGTGGCTTAAATTAATCTTTCTGTGGCTAACCCCTTGTCCCGAAGACTGTACTGTATATGGCATTATTCCCCTACAGACATGCAGTGATGGCTCCATCATGTATTATGTGCCTGTATATGCATGGGCCTATTTTAAATCCATTAGTTTCCATTTGTCCATTTGTCTTTCATTATCTTAAATTATAAAATAATTTGATGATTGGAAAGTCACCTCAGTTTTTACTTCATTAGTATTATCTGCTCTAAACTTCCCTCTCTTTTCCACTTAAATTTCAGATTCCTTTCGTCAAATTTCATGACACCTTTTATGATTTTTATTAGTGTTGCGCTTAATACACAGATGTTAGTGCAAAAATTGGGATGCTTGTACTATTGCTTTAACTTACTCATGATCATGGTATATATCTTCACTTATTTCAGATTTTTAAAATGCCTTCCTCTGAAGTTGAATAATTGTCTCAGTTAAAGTCTTGCTTATCTTTAATAGATTTGGGTTTTTTAATATTTAATTTTACTGTTGGTAAATGGACTCTCCCTTTAAAAATATATCTAACTTTTGCAAGTATATAGAAATAAACTGACTTTATTTTTGTTAAAGTCAGTAAATTTATTAAATGTTGTTATAAGTAATGCAATGCTTCTTTAGATTCCTTTGGTCTTCTAAATTTGTCATCTGCCTTTAGTCAATTTTTTTCCTTCTTATTCTTCCCTTTTTTCCTTATTCTACAGGCTGAAAATTCAGCACAATGTTGAATAGAAATGGTGGTAGCATTTATTTACTTATCAATTTTATTTGACCTGGACAACTACAGGTACTGGATGTGGCACGTGGTATGGGCGTTAAACTTTAAGATTAGATCCTGATATTTCAAGGGTCTACTGGCATCCCAGGACATCTGCAAACATTCTCCCATCTGTTACTGAACCAGGGTCATATTGTCCTATGCACAGTGAGCCAAAATGTTAAGAAGCCGAGGTTTGCAGCTAAAATAGGGTTTATTGTCAAGGCAGCCGAGTGAGGAGATGGGAGAACAGATCTCCAATCCACCTCTCCGAAGGCAAGGGGCTTGGAGTATTTATGGGACGAGGAATAAAGAAGCCGGATAGTCTGAGACACAGGGCACATGGGGAGGATGGGGAAAGGCGGTTGGAAGGCAGTGTGTGAATCGTCTTTCTACACAGGCATGACTAAGCCACACGCCTCTGCGTGTTCATAACGGAGGCCGTTAGCATGAAATGAGCATGGACTCTTTGGTCCTTAGGCAAAAGGTCACGAAGAGGAAATGTGCCCAGTTGGAAGGTCACTGGTTCTAACCAGCCTTCACCAGTTCAGCTCCAACTAGACACAGCTGACTCTGGGCTCAGCTGAATGGCAAGCAAATGATGCCATATTCCTGGAAAATAACTTGGGCAAATGTCTTATTGTTTAGGCTACATGCCACTTAGAGGACAGCAAGTCTTAATTTTTTTTTAATTGAGGTATAGTCAGTTTACAATGTTGTGGCAATTTCTAGTGTACAACACAATGCTTTAGCCATACATGAATATACATATATTCAACAATTAAAGTGCCCTTGAGTAGTGAAGGCAGGTGAACTGGATTTGACTAGTCATTACGCAGGGTTCCACCGCCAGTGTCTAATGTGTCTCACCTGAGTGCCCTGAAGGCCCTACCAACTCATCTCAGGTGGAGGAAGGGTTGTACTTGCTCCTTACACGCAGGAGTATTTCAGAGACCCACATCCCCCCTAGTGGTCAAGGGGGCACATTCATCCCATGCCCTCTGGTCTCTCACTGCCTTCACCTCCTTTGTGGTGAGTGGGCAGTGGCCAGTTCCACACTGTGCAGCAGCAGCAGCAGCAGCCAGGCACCCCACGTATCAGAGCAGAACCAGCTATCGGCGTGTTGACCTGCTGGGGTCCTGCAGAGATCTGTTACTAGTAATTAGGGATGCAATTCGTCATTAATCCAGTATTATTGGTGGCTCATCAGTAAAATTTGCTTCTCAACCTCTTCTGGCCACATTCAAGGTGAACAGGGTCCTTAGATCGCTGTCCTAAGTTCTCTGCTCTCTTCTCTGTGTATTCTATCATCAAGGGATCAAATGCACTTTCATTCTTCCAATTACGGAAATTGTCCCGGATTTTTACCTTCATCCATTTCCACTGAGTCCCTGTCTTGAACATACAACTGCTTTCTGCATATTTCTGGTCAGATTTCTGTCTCAATGTAATGCCCAGTGTCAAATAAACCATGAAACCTTCCCCCTCGGTCCTCCTAGTCCATCTGGCTGTGATAGTCCTCTCCATCCTCCCCATTTATTGCCTCTCGTGTCTAATCAATTACCAAGTCCTTTGATTTTCTTCCTTATTTCCTAATTGTTTTAAATTTCTCATTTTTCAGTATTTCCATTACCACGGCCACCATTGTCTTAGCTTCGCCTGCCCGGGTCACTGCAGGGGCTGACTCTGTTCTCTGCCTCAGCCCTTTCCACACTGTCCATTGTTTTTTCACACTGTAGCCAGGACGGTTTAAAAAAAAAAAAGCAGTGTACACACACACAGCAAGAACAAACATTAATTACTACAGAAGTTAAGTACTTAAAACCTCAAGCGCAGGGCAAGGGATATACGAGAAAATGAGAAATGGCTGTACCTTGTGCTCAGTTTTGCCGAACATAAGACTGTTCTAAAACAAATTATCTACAAAAGAACCTCAATGTCTCCTATTAAATTTTAGGTTAAATTCCATACCACATTCTTCGACATCCCTCAAAATTAATTTAGACTAAAATCTTTCTAAGAACCTTTAAGAGTTTTTTGCCCCTTGTTATGAGGAGAAAGTAATGTTTTTGTAAATGACACACAAATCTTGATGTAAATCATTAAGAATAATATTTAGTGTTTTCTCATACTTTTCCTAAAGGTCCGATAACCATTAAATATACGGTAATAGAGGCTTCAAATTCTCACCACCTGTAGTAAGTTCATTTTTGTTAGGAAAACCAAAGAATCTTAACTTTTTTTAAAAAAGGAACCAGAGATAATTACAGATTTAAAAAAAACACTAAAATATTTGAAGACTATTTGAAATTGACTATTGGTCACTCAAAAGTAGTCCAGTTGCTTTCCATGTTCCAGAATGGAGTCCCAGTAAAGCAGCCGATCAAGTGATTCTGTTCAGTTCCACTCTGGTCAGGGTCAAGGTTTAGTGTTCATGCCTTCATGTTCACACTTAGTGTCCACGAGCCAACTCCCTGGTTCTCACGACACAATACCCTCCATCCTCCCCTTCCATAGACTCTCATCTCTTCAGTTGTTAATTTTCTCTCCTTTTTGATCTCATAGGCACAGGATTTGATTAATTTTAAGCCGTGGCTAATAATACAGAGGCACTGTTTATCGATGCACATTCTTTTATTTATTTAAATATACTGGTTAGCTGACTCATCCAATGACGTGCGAGGTAGACCTTGACAATACTGAAGTTTAGCGCATCCCAGCTCCTGCCACTCCCGATCCAAGCCCCGTAATAAATATCATTCTGGGTTGGGGGAGGTGTAGCTCAGCAGTAGAGCGTGTGCCTAGCAGGCACAAGGTCCTGGGTTCAATCCCCAGTATGTCCATTAAAAGTAAATAATAATCTAATTACCTCTTCCCCTGCTCCAAAATAAATAATTTAGGAACAAACATCATCATTCTGGACTCGGGTCAATCCTCCTTGCCAGTGTGTGTTGACAAATATTTGACAGCCAGCTCCCTGGAGGAAAATAAATCAAGAACCCTGGATTGCTGTGCTGCACGCACCCCCACTATGGCTGATTTCAAGCCATCAACGTGATGCCACTGACACTGAAGTTGGGGAGATGTGTACCAGCGGCTTTTGGGAGCTGGTAAAAGCCAATTCACTCAACAACAGCTATTTCTTGCTTTTCTTTTAATATGATTTTGTTCTGATCTATTTGTGGTCATGAAAATAATTTCCTTGATTTAGTTGGTTTTAGCTTTATATAAAATACATCATGCTTTACAAAATCTTATCAGGGTGAGTTTTTGCGCCTCATATTATATCGTTAAGATGACCTATAACTTTGTTCATCATTCGTTTTGACTGGTGTATATCGTTTTCCATCACATGGATGTGCTACAGTTTAGTCATTCACTTTCTTGTCAATGCATGTGTGCCTTGGTTCCATCATGAATAGTACTGCTTAGAATGTTTTTGCATTTATGTCATCTGATACGCGTATGTAAGATGTAGTGGAACTGCTGGCTGCTGGAACAAAGGAACGATCAACTCTGAGATAATGCCAAAGTGCTTCCAGTTGTTTGCATCACTTACACTCCCACCAGTAATCCTGTGGAACCATACCCTCTCTAACAGGTTTTATTTCTAAGCTTTTTATATTTTGCTAATCAAATGGATATAAACTTAACGTATCTTTGTGTCTTGCTTCTCATTTTCCTGATCACCAGGGAAGTCAAATATCTCATGTGTTTATTGATCACAGACGTTTCTTCTATTAAATATATGTTAATATCTTTCGCTTATTTTTATTGGATCATATAAGAGTTGGGATCAATGTATGGTTTTTCCTGGGAAAGGATTTTTCTGAGGGCTTTACATTCAATGCTCTTCTTACTATCTGGTGGCTTCTGATAGAAATTTCTGGCTTTGTAGACAGGTCTGAAGTCTTTTATTTACTCCCTCTGCCTTCTCTTCCCTCTGACACCTTCGTTGGGTGACAACTCAACCAACACCTTCTCTGTGAAGGTTTTTGGCATGCTCAGTACCGAGGTGCAGAGGGTGCACCCCACCCGGTCTTACCCCCTCCCTTCATCAATCACAGCGCTATATATAGCACATCACTGAATTCTTTCAGTATCTCTGCTTGGCTGCCTTATGATTCTGTTTTGTCTTGCAAGCCTGAGATGTTGACAAGACAATGCTGAATTGTCTTGGAGAGACTAGTGCCAACACTTATTATAAAAATGCACAGTGTTTTATAGAAGCATTTTGAAATCTACCCATAGGATTATGTGTTGATTTATCTAAGAACATATGATTAACATATGGTAGAGTCGGGGAAAAAAACCCAGGCTTTATCATTTTCAGCCCAGGGAAATTCCATGTCAGTCGGCCACTTATAGACCCAGGTCCTTTCCCATATTGCTGGTTCTCAAACACCAAACCTCCACACTCCACACCCAGATATTTTTTTCTCTGTACACGTTCACGCTGACAGATGTCTCAGTCAGAGAGGCTGTGGTTTTTCTCTCCCACGCCCCCTTTCCACAGGGCTCCCTGCATTTGGTGGGGTCGGGGAGAGGGGCTGTTGCCGGATTCTTGTTTGGGTCTCTGATCTCCGCCCAGCGCTGTGTCACTAGCACTGCAGAAGTAGAGGCTGCTGTCTGCAGGGTGCACGCTCGTCACCATCAGAGATGAAAATGTTAGGTTTGGATGGTTGATGGGAAACTTGTCCTTGGTAAAACCTTGTTCGTATGTGGCATTGGAGCCCTGGTTAGAAGTTGCTATCAGTGTGAGGCCCTGCTCCAGGAACTGACGATACCAAAACACAGTCATGGCCTGAAAGTCCTCTGCATGGCACTGGAACGTCACAGAGGCTCCCTTCTCACGGATAGCCCTGCTCGGATGTTGAGAGACGTGAGCGCCAAGCCCAGAGCCTGCGGAAACAGAGGTCAAGGAGATGAGAGAGGCCAGCAGGGCCAGGCAGAACATCACAGCCTCGCGCCCTCATCTTTCTCCCTGCTTCCAGGGAATCCTGTTTGTTGTGTGCAATCTTCCCGTCCTACTTCCTAGGAACATGATCCCCCATCTCCCCTGACTGGTGCCTTGTCGCCTTACGCTCTGCACCTCCAGACAGCATGGCTGCCCCCCTCCCCTTGATCAGCATCAACAACCTGGAGTCTGGCTACCGCTTCACCCAAGCCAGCACGTGTGCACACTCGCCCAAGCTCCTCAGATAATAAGGCTTATACCAGGCCCCAGAAGCAGCAGGAACACCAGCATCTTCAGGTGCCGGCCTCGTACCACGCCTCTGAAGAAAGGTCTGACCTTGCCCCTCGATCTTCCCTTCTCCACCCCTAGGAGGAGGGATGACTACCGGCCTAACCCTGAGGGTGCTCTATCCTGCCCCCTGGTGGTCATCGTCGCCAATGCTGCAGGGTCCATCACTTTCTAAAAACATTTTATTTTATTGAGTTATAGTCAGTTAACAATGTTGTGTCAATTTCCAGTGTAGAGCACAATTTTTCAGTTATAAGTGAACATGCATATATTCATTGTCACATGCTTTTTCACTGTGAGCTACCACAAGATCTTGTATACATTTCCCTGTGCTGTACAGTATAAACTTGTTTATCTGTTCTAAGTATACACCTGTCAGTATCTATAAGTCTTGAACTCCCAGTCTGTCCCTTTCCACCCCTCTCCCCTGGCAACAAGTTTGTATTCTATGTCTATGAGTCGCTTTCTGTTTTGTATTTGTTCATTTGTCTTTCTTTCCTTTTCCTTTTTTTAAGATTCCACATATGAGCGATCTCATATGGTATTTTTCTTTCTCATTCTGGCTTACTTCACTAAGAGTGACCCATCACTCTTTCAATCAAAGAACCATACCAGCATCGCTGGAAGGGTCTCAGAGATGTTCTAAATGGACTCCTAATTTATTGGAACATAAACGGAGACCCAGATCATTGAAGTGACCGAAACAAGTTTCCTAGCCTTCTGTAAGGAAGGGGGCATGTTTGTGTATATTAAATGATACCATAGGTAATTCTTTCCTTCCGTAACACATCCTCAAAGTAACAATCGTGAGTTGTCTTGGCTAATCACTAGAACTAAGGTGAGCATAAGAAATCCCAGGCTAGAAGCTCAGTGTTCCTTCACACTGATAAGGACACTTCCTCATCTTCTCAATGAAATATTTATTTCATGACTATCTTACGCCAATGCCCTGGTAAAGTAAAGCATTTTAGTTCCATCTCATTTCCAACAACTTTCTTACTATTTCAGAGAACCCTGGCTGCAGGGGGCGGCTGGGGGAGGGGGGCTTGGAGTCCTCATCCTACCATATTTCAGTGTTTTAGATCCTATTCAGCGGTGAGTGTCTCTTTCCCGTCTCTATTTCTCAGCATTTTGGTCTTTGTATAAATATATGGGAGAATACGGGGGAGAAGAAAGCCAGAGCTAACGTGAGGTTCAGAAAGGAATCCAAACAAAATGCCTGGAGCCAAGGCTTATATGTAATGGTCCGGGGCTCCCTCCATTTCCCCAGAAATTGCTGGTCCCAAGAGACATAGGGCCACACCAAAGAGACTGGGGCTCGTGGATGCCTCCAAGAATTATTTTAAAATATACTAGTCCAGCATTTTTTTCTGTATGCAGTTTGAATAATATAGACTGTCTGTCATTCATTGCTAGAAACAGAATTATACGATTAAATAAATATTTGTGAAAAAATGAAGTCCCAAGAACTAACAATACCTGTCTTCCAATTCGATGGATGGCAGACCTCAGAGGGAGAAAATATACAGAAGACACTGAGACCATTTGCAAAATAAAACTGACCACCTGTCTGCTGATTAGTCATGCAAATATTTCTCTCAACTCTTTTCCAAGTGCCAAGCGTACAGTTACATGAGTCTGCTCGGTGTTTCTCTGCACAAATCCAAGGAAGGTCCACCGGAGCTAGAAACCCAATTTTGTTTAATAACGTTGTTGCTCCACTCATTTTTCCAAATGTTCTCCTACTGCCATATTGGGGGGGGCTGTGATCATCTATTCCTGATTTTTATCTCCTGATTCTCTCCTGCCGTGGTTCCCTAAGCCCGTGTCAGTCTGTCCGTGTGTGTCCATCTCGTGAAATCCTGCTCACCATGTGAGTTTCATCTCACATCCTGCCTTTTCTCTGAAGCCCTTCCTGATGTCACCAGACAGAACTGGCCGTGCTGTTTCGCACACTCCACTCACACCTCTGACGCATGCACACAGCATATGATACTCGGTAACAGTGTGTTTCTACACGTTTCTCTCCCCACTGGGCTTTTATTAATTTTCTGAAGGAAGGGACCATTTTGTGTTCATTTTTGTTTTCCACGATTTGGTAAAAAAGAGCTGGATTGTAAAATTAACCTCTCCTCTCTCCCTCTTTCTGATGTAGACAGATTTAGATACGTAATTTAAAAATCAGCTTAGTGGCTCTCCGAGGCATCGTGCCATTGCACAAAGCGTGTTGATGCAGCCACTGCTTTGGATGCCTGGTTGAGGAGGAAGACAGCGTTCTGATCAGGGGACCAAAAACAGAAAAGCCCTGCCACCTGGTGGGGATGCAGGGCTTGGGACACATTTATGTGCAAAGAGAAGGTGGCTTTGCTTCACTGTGTCTGTACTGCTGGCACAGAGATAAACAGCCGTCTGGTTCTTCTGTGTCAACGTCACAGTGAGAGAAAAGAGTGGCTTCTTCTCCCGAGAGGCACTGTAGCCTTCGGCTATGTCTCCTTTCTGAACATCCTTTGCAGACAGTGAGAAGTAGATTAGTCTCAGCCTTTGTCCTGGGTCCTGTCGGTACCAGTACATGGCGTCATAATTAAAATCCTGCTCACACTCCAGGGTCACATCTCGTCCTTCCTCTTTGAGCACGTATTTTGGGGTCTGTGTGATTCCACCATCCACGGTGCCTGTGGAAGAAAGGGAGCCGTTCTGGAAACAAGGCCCCGGAGGGCGTCTCAGGGCTGCTGCTGTCGGGAAAGGCTTAGATCTGGAGCTCAGCACCTTATGGGGCAGGAATTTGCCCCCTGAAGCCACGACTCACCTGCTCTGAGGAGACAGAGGGCCACCCAGTAGATCACCTGGTTGCCCATAGTGGGAAGGGGGGTCTCCCTCCAGCTCCAAGCCCAGACAAATGAGGAAAGGAACTTAGCCTGGGGGCTCCCCCTTGGCTTAATGTGCAGAATTTGTCACACGGCTAGAATGGACACTTGGATAGGATCCTGGAGATATTCAAGACTGTCTCCCCAGTTTGGCAGATGAGGAGATTGACAACAGAGCTCTGAATCACTGGCACCGCCACCTTGTGTCTTCCTTCCCCAGACTCTGCACTTTGGCCTGACTTGTCAGCACTGCCACATTCCAGGCTCGAGCTTCACTCTGATTGGCTCACGGGTTCACCTTCCTCGTCATGGTAACGTTTGCTCACTGGAGGACGAGCACATAGATGCTCTTGTCACACAAGAATGGAGAGTTTATGTTTAATCCCCTCGCTGCCAGGTACTGCTCCAGGCCTGCAGCAGAGGAGGAACAGGACTACCACCGCCTGGAAATCGCCCCTCTTCCTCAGCCTACGAGTTTTGTTACTTTAGCTCGGCACGTCAAGTGTTGAACATTAAAGAAACGTTGATTGTGCCCAAATAGTTCAGTAAGTCCCCTCAGGAAAGACCCCACGGTCCCAAGTGGCTATTACCTGTTGTAGATGAGTTTGCTTTCCGCCTAGAAACCTTAGAATAAGCAGGGATAAGAATGATCAAGTAAAACTAGCTGCTAACAACTGGAAGTTCTGCAGGAGCCCTGGGATAGCAAGCAGAAAGACAGAGGCACGTTATGCTTTCCTTGAAGGCCAGGTGGCTCCGAGCAGCCTGCAACCCGCCGTTTAGTCTTAAACCCTCCTCCTCCCACTTCTTCCTTAGAATAAAAGCAACCTGAATCCTACCCCGCATTAAGATGGTTCTTTAGGACGTTAGCCCGCCATCTTCTCAGTGTGCTGGCTTTCTGAATAAAGTTGCTCTTTGCCCCAACACCTCTCTTGACTTATTGGCCTGTGGAGCAGTGAGTGGTGAGAGCCTGACTCATCCACAAAATTTGACAAGCCAGCCAGGAGTCTTGCTGCTCGTGGCCCCGGCTGGGAAATTGTGTTGGGCAAGCCCCTAGCAGCTTCCAGGACCTCTTGTGCTGCAGGTCCTCCTTCAAAAGTCCTTGGAGCAGTGCTGGCCACCCCGGTGCTCAGCAGTTGGAGCAAAGACTTGACATTCGGGAGTCAATGGACTGAATGCAGAAGGGTAAGTTGCTTCCATGTACGCAGCCAAAACCTCCCCTCCCCTCCACTCCGGGCTTTTCCTTTTTCCTCGCCAGAATAAGCCCCACTGGTTTTGCATTTGCGTGGGGGGGGGGGTACCCTGTCGGACTCTGCCCGATCTGGTTTGTTTGTTTCTTTGGATGCTAGCATGTGGTTTGGGGGGCACTATGTTTTGTTTTTCTTGACTTTGTTTTTAAAAGATGGGGAACGTCTCATCTGTCCCTAAGGAAAGCCCTCTAGGTCGCTTTTTGGAAAAATGTGCTGATTATAGCTATGAACCTAAAGACTAAGAAACAGATGATATTTTATTGTAACAATGTGTGGCCACATTATTCACTGGGATCTGAAGAATGGTGGCCTCTGAATGGTTCTCTGAATTATGACACAATCTTACAATTAGAGTTATTCTGTGAAAGAGTAGGGGGAAAGATAAAATTCCCTATGTGCAAGCATTTATGTTGTAACGTCAGGATGAGAAAAAGACAGTTGCCATCTTATGGTACAAAGGTCTGAAAAGAAACCCAAGAAAATCTCTTCTACAGCAGAACAGGGAAAGGAGCAAGAGTGAGGATACGTTGCTGCAAACCTTACATTCCCCTCGGGCCGTGCCAGCTGTCCCTGCAGCTGCTCCCACCACCCCTGTGCAACTGACATCCATCCCTTCCATCGCCTCTTGTCCCTGAAACCCAACCCGTGACACTGAGGCATGGGAAGTGGCAGGACTGGCTCTCCCCTCCTTATGGGCATCAATCAGAAAATCCTGCATTATTTCCTGGAGCAAAGGGACCTGGTCTCCAGTCATCATCTAAGACCCATCAGGGCAGTCAGTTCAGCCCGGGAGCCACCTCTGGGGCGGGGCAACTTTCCGTCACCCTCCAGAAAGCCTCAATAAGTACAGCCAGTCGGCTGGGTTTTGTGAAGCACTGTCCATTTTCAACCTTCAATTTATTTAACTGGAAGGACCGTGAACTTCTTATAGAAAAGACCCTTTCCAAAGGACAGAATAGTTATTTTCGTTTTCGCTACCCACCACCCTTCACGGGCAGGCATTCATAGTCTCAGTATGATGCTTACTGGCAATGAGACGATGGTCACCGATAAGGCTAGACGTAGCGCACCAGCGCCACCTAGTGGATCCAAATGGCACACATGAAGCCTGCTTAGCAGGACCCACTGTTGAACCGCACTGGACCCTAATGAAGGGATGCCCCACGCACTACTGTAAGTGCATCCTGGCAGGACTCTGGGAAGGGGTACCAAACCAAAAGTGCCTAAAAAAATTTCAAGAGATTCAGCAAAACCAAGTGAAGACCCCTCCGAGTTTGGGGAAAATTTACCAGGTGTTACACTAAGCAGACCCTGAGGCCCCAAACACTAGAATGGTAAACTATGGGTTTACTGGACAAAGTGCTCCAGATATCAGGAGAAAGCGACAGAAACTGGATGGTGCCTTTGGAATCAATCCTTCTGGGTTGGTGGATATTGCTGTTAAGATATTCAACAGCAGAGAACATAAGCAGAAAACATAAGGTACAAAAAAAAAGCCACTTTTCTGACTGCAGCATTGGATTCCCCAAAAGAAAGGTAAGTTCTCCCTAGGCAAGGAAAGATGCACTGACTGTAGAGAGGAGGAACCTTGGAAAAGGGAATGTCCCAGACAAAAGAAAAAGGGCTGAGGAGGAGAAAAGGGGAGCGAGGGAGGAACGCTTGGATCATAAATGAGGGAACCCAGGGCCTCCCCGGGATGCGCAGCACCCAATTCAAATATCCCCACTGGAGCGCCAGGCACAACTGACAGTGGGGAGCAAACTGATTGACCTTCTAGCAGACGTGGGTGAAACCCATTTCATGCTAAATACCAAAATGGCACACAGAACATCGCAGTCCACTCCCATCACTGGGGTATCTGGAGAAGTACAGAGCCGATCATTTTTACAACCATTGCAGTGTCAATTAAGAGGCCTGACATTTAAACAGTTTCTTGTATACATCTGAATGCCCTAGTCCCCTCTTGGGTCGAGATCTCCTTTGTAAAGCTAAATGCACAAGTGACACTTTCACCAGGACAACTTGATATATGGGTCCTGCCAGAACACATTTTAAATGTACAGATGGCTCTCCCAGAAAAGGAGACAGACTTCTTTGCCCTGAGGTCTGCAAAAAGGTAAGACCAGAAGTGTGGGCTGACGGTACCTCAGGAAAGGTTGAAAACTGAAAGACAGCACAAATCCCATTGAGAAAGGACACTGGGACTCCTAGCCTAAAATATCCTCTGAAACACAAAAAGGAAATCTAGCTAATTCTTGAGAGATTTTTTAAAATGGGACTCATCAGATCTTGCAAGTCCCCATACAACACCCCCATCCTCCTGGTTAAAAAGCCAAATGCAGCAGAGTATCTCTTTGTTCAAGACATGAGGGCCATTAATGATTTAGTCCAAGATCTGCACCCTGTGATACATCCTGCTCACAACTATTCTGGGAGAATGCAGCTGGCTCTCAGTTTGGGGACTGAAAGATGATTTTTTTTTTCCTGCATCTCTACTGCAGAAGAGTTACAGTAGCTTTTTGCCTCTGAATGGCAGGACCCAGAAACACCGGTAACGCAACAGTGTGGCTGGATATCTCGGGGTTTCAATATTCTCCTCCTTAGTTTGGAGAAGTGTTGGCTAAGGACCTCAGGAGCTTGACAGTAGACGAAGGGCTCTTGCTCTGATGGGTGGATGACGTGCTGGTAGTGAGCGCCACGCATGAAAAGTGTCTACAGAATAGCATTAAAACTCTCAACTATTCGGCTGAATGTGGATGGAAAGTCTCTTCGAAAAAGGCCCAGGTTTGTCAAGCAGCAGGTCACTTATCTGAGTTTTGCTCTCTCCCAAGGACAACGAGGTCTTTTGCCTGACAGAAAACAGGCGATTGCAGACTTAGGAGTACCCGAGGCCACAGACAAGAGGGTTTTTTTTTTTTTTAAGGAATGGCAGGATTCAGGATCTAAATCCAACAGAATTAGAAGCTCATACTAAAGCCCCTCTACCAGGCTCTAAAAGTGTGCCAAACAGCCTTTGAAACCATAAAAAAGTTCATCTCAGCCCCAGCTTTGAGGCTACCAGATTTGAAAAACCCTTTCAAAATCTACATCCATGAAGGATAGGGCGTAAGTCTTGGGGTATTAACTCAAGCTCTGGGACGCATCCTGTGACCTGTCGCCTACTTCTCAAAACAGCTAGATCAGACAGTTAAAGGAGGGTCCTCTTGCCTTTGGCTGCCACTCGTGACATACTTCAGGAAGCCAAGAATTAACCCCTGGGACAACCCACCACAGTGTCTGTCCCTCACCATGTCCTTTCTTTACTAGAACAAAAGAGGGGCTATTGGCTGGCTTCTGGGAGAATGGAAAGTATCAAGCCACTCTCCCAGACTATCCCAGTGTAAGACTGCAGGTCACTTTGGCTCTAAATCCAGCCACATCGCCCCAATGAATGCTGCATGATCCCCAGAGCATGGCTGACTGCCTGCCTGTCATCGAGCTACTGCATACTTCAGCAGACCAGGCCTAACAGATGAACCCTGGCTGAGCTGAATTTTGGAACTAGTCATCAGTGGGAGGAGGTTCACGGATCAAGGAAGTCAACACACTGGATATGTGGGGGTAACCTTAGAAAAAATTGAGGCCCTGCCCTCGGGGAACTCAGCTCAGAAGGCAGACATCATTGCTCTGACAAGGACCCTCCTACTCACCAAAGGGAAGAGAGCAAATATATAGACAGGCTTGTTGTGGATTCTCTGTAGTACGTGCTCTCAAGGCGGTCTGGAAAAGAGAGGGGCCTCTCCTTCAAATAATAAGGACATAAAATATGCTTCTGAAATCCCGTCACTGCTAGAAGTGGACCACAAGCACTCACAAGTGGCCACAAAGATTGCCCAGGCCAAAGAGGTGAGACTCATAAAAAACGCAATCAGTTAGCTAACCAAGCGGCAAAGAAGGTGGCAGAGGAAGGTGACAACCAAGCCATGATAAGTTCACTGTGCCCGCAAATTGGTTTGTCAAAATATCAGCCAGAATATTCAGAAGGGACAAAGAAAGGGCCAAAGGGTGGGGCCTCACTTTTGATCACACCTCACCCGGCTGGAAATGTCATGCACAAGAATTGTTTTGATCCCTGACGCCCCTTTGAACACCGTGTTAACGACACATTGCTGACGGTGCCCATCGAGGGAGGGAGGCCACCTCACAATGGACTCAGTGTATCATAGGGCCTAACCTGAAAGAGACCGTCCAGCAAGTCAGTCAGAACTGCATGATCCGATCTAAAAATAACCCAAATACTGCCACTAGATGCCCCGAGATGGGAGCTCAACACAGAGTGCCCCGCTGAGGACTGACGCATAGACTTCAGTCAAATGCCCCGAGCCACAGTAAACTTTATACTTGTTAGTGTTTATGGATACATTTTCGGGATGAGTGGAGGCATATCCCATCAGGGCAGAAAATGTCTCTGAAGTAAAGTCCTCCCAACAGAAATCATCCCCCAATCGGACTGCCGAGCCCCCTTCCAAGTGACAACGGATCTGCTTGTCTCCAGCATAACCCAACAAGTGTCTTAAGCGTTGCGTGTTGACTGGAAACTTCATTCACCTGGGAGACCACAATCAACAGGGAAAAAAGAAAAGAAGTCATCCATGAAAAGAGCATTGCTAAAAAAAAGTCAAGAGACTAGTTTCGCGTGGGATGAGACCTTGCCAATTGCCCTGCTAAGGATCAGAGTGGCTCCCAGAAACAAACTTAAGCCCCTTTGAAATTTTGGACGGCAGGCCATTCCAGATGTCTGCCCAGGCGGGGAAATCATTCATGCTTTAAAGGACCTAGCTGGTGCTAACTATGTCAAATCGATGGCCACTATACTAACTTCTGTTTATACATTTTGCTTCCAACAGGTCTGTCTCTCAGGCACCTCATCCTCCTTAAAAGCTGGAAAAAAC